ACAGCATGTGAGAAACCAGATGTTAAAATATTGTAATTTACAACAGTGAAACTGCGAATGTTTGTTTCTGGTACTTTTAAACTTTACACAAACTTTTTAAAATTGTTATTATTCGGAAAAACACTCTGGGAATCTTAGTCCTATGTTTGTTTCTGGTACTTTTAAACTTTTTAAAATTGTTATTATTCCGAAAAACATTCTGGGAATCTTAGTCCTTGAGGTTTCCACTGGGAACAACCATGATGGACAGGATGAGAGGGACAGTTAAGGTGGCGCCATCTGGAGGCGAAGTTAGAGATGAAGTCACAATGTTTGGTTGTGGAGATAGAGATGGAGAAGAAATTAGACAATGGATGTTGGAGATTTGAGTCTTTGAGAAACGGAAGAACGTACAGAACCGACATTTGGACGATTATCCTGGTTCACGGAACTAGCAGTCGACGAGCTTTCCCTCGACTGACTGATATGTAAATATAATCATGTTTGTTGCATCGTTGTTTAGTCTGCGTTAAAGTCGAAGACCACACAAAAATGGTGACGCCTGAAAAAAACAAAGGCCCTGAGCTTCTAATATGACACATGGATACAATGTTTGGCTGGATGAGAGCAGGTGGGGGGAGTCATTCACAATTATCCGCCCCCTCCACCTCCATTACAACGCATGTGTTGAATGAGACAAGGAATTTCTAGATCTGTCGGAGTCCAAATCTTCTGCTGTGGCACAGAGTAAAGCAGGCGGACGGGCCGGTGGAGTCCACTTCGCAGCATTAGTAGAGACAGACACGGGAGGGAACCAAAAAGTGGAGGAAAGGCATCAGTGGAAATAGACTCGATAACAGACGTAAGCACTGAGAGCCAGCGCCGTGCACAGGCACACGTTGGCCACAAGAGGGGACCAGGCCGCCGCTGCAGGAGAGTTTCCCTCCGGCTGCTCAGCTGTTTTTGCTGATTTCTGCTTGCTGGTCTCCTGCTCCTGCTCCTCCTGCTTTTCCTGCTCCTGGGATTTGGTAGAAACTTCAGAGGTAAGATCCTGGCCAACCATGTGGCCGTCAGCCTGGTCGCCTTGAAGAAACGGGGTGGCAGCAACGTTCCTTTTCCGCACTGTGGTGTCTGCTGAGGAGCTAAATGAGAAGACCAAGTTTAATAAACAATTTATTTTTTTCAACAACATGGTCAACGTTTACAAGTTCAGCTGACCTCAGTGAACACCCCAAGCTCCGGGTCTCTGTGCGTTGCACAATCTCCTCGCTTCCTGGGAAAAAGGATGGCTCAACTTTGCCGTTGTGAGGGTCTCTGGGAGGAGGAAGAGGAGGAGGAGGAGTGAACTCTGGAGGATCGTCCTCCTCGTTCGACAGCTCCTTCCATGACTCCTTTAAATGGAAAAACACAAGTATTTTTTAAAGCAGCCAGTGTCTCAAGCTTCCTTCGATGTGTCCAATTTCTTAAAGATCAAATTTACTTTGTATCAATGGAACAAAGAGTAGATGAAAAGGAAGCTCCCACCTGCAGGGACGTATCTCCCTGGATGTATTTGGCACCTTCAATGACCGCAAGGTAGGAGAAACGGAGCTGATCAGCCGTCTGAATCAGGCCCATTCTGTGGCGTCTCATCTCCAGCAGAACGTCCCGGATACGCACCGAGGATGGGTCTTTTCGGGTCGACATCTGCAGTCAACAGTGGGAACAGAGTCGGTCAGAAGTCTTTACAAACCAACACAGCTTGGAGTCGGAGCAGGAGAACTCAGTACTGACCAACAGAAGGCACGTGTCCACAAGACAAAAGGTCCCTGATCGGCCGATGCCGGCGCTGCAGTGAACGACCACTGGGCCGTGGTCTGAATTCAGGCACCTGGACTCTCGCACCTTAAACAGGAAGTTGAGGAAAGAGGCGGGAGACTCTGGTACCCCAAAGTCTGGCCAGGTGGTGTAGTGAAAATGCAAAATCTCCCGAGTCTCTTGAGTCTGCAGAGAAGAATCACAGGGATAGAGATCTAAAAAGTCACAATTAAATAGTTTGGAAAGTGATTCCTTTTTTAGAAGTGAATGATTTCAGGAGCATCAAACGCTGGTCCGGTTCATTTACTACATTCTGTAGGTTTTGTATTTAAAAGAAATGAGCCTATGATGAGATTTTTTTTTAAATTGGGGGAAATTTAAATTTCCTTTTACTCTCTGAAGGGGTATTACTCTCATTTGGACACACCATTCAGTGAACCCAGAGAGTTTTTGCTGCTTGCTCAAAGCCAGGGCTGGGATTGGAACCATCAATCCTCAGATAATGACTCGGATCTTTTAACAACTACTAAAAAAAGGATGTTTTTGAAGAAAATCGATGTTTGTAGCCGATTGTGCCAGCAGCTTTACAGCAACTTAAATCAGCGCCAACTACTGTACGTGTTTGGACTTTTCACATTATAACTTCTGCTCCAAAGCTTGTTGATTATTTAAGCTCCTTCAGGTAAAAAAAAACAAAACTATCTTCTACCATCTTTTTCAGGGTCAGGGAGAAGAGCTGGAGTCAATCCAAGCAGTCAATCAGATCAATTCAGATCAACCTTATCCTTAATCTGCTCGTTTTTGGACTGTGGGAGGAAACCAGGGTTCTAGGAGAACCCACGCCCCTCGGTATGAATTTGAGAACTCCACCCAGACAGAACGGTGATCTTCTTCAGGTAAAGTCAAGCGTACAACTCCATATTTTCCATCTTTTGCCTGAATTGTGATTCTAACCCAAGTGTTGATTGAACGAAAACATCGTCATCGAACATAATTTAAACACGTTTTTCATGTTTATTTACAAATCAAATCTCCATCGGCGTCAACACATCTCATGCTGCAGGTCGGTGTTTGCGTCACTTACAGACAGGTTTTCCAACTCCAGCTGACGGACTGTGTAGTAAGATTTGATGTCTTCTGAGACCAGAGTGAGCTTGAAGTTGGTGTCTTCAAAGGTGGCGTCCCCCTCCTCTCTGTGAGGCCAGTACTGGGCACATTTCACCTGAACACCAGAGAAGGTTTAAACACACTGCACCGAACAGAGTAGTCAACAACGTCAACAACAACGTCAACAACAACAGGACTCACCGATCCTTTTTCCAGACCACGCCGCGGCTTCTCTGCTCCCACACCATCTCCCAAAAGTGGCCACATGTGTGTGGAAGTGGTCCCTAAAAAAGGGAACCCTCGGTTGAACTGTGCATTCACATCAACAATATCACTTTACACAGACAATAGATCGTTAGCAACACTCTTTATTTTAATGTTTTTGTGTTACACAGACAATAGATCGTTAGCAACACTAGAAAATGCATCTTGGAAAAACTCCAAAGTAATTTTTTTTTTTTAATCTTCATTTTAATGTTTTTGTGGTGGAAAAACTCCAAAGTAATTTTTTTTTAAATCTTCATTTTAATGTTTTTGGTTTTTTTTTGGCTCACAGCATGACAGTACGCAGCAAAACCTCAGCCGTAGGTACTTTATCCAGTTAATAAAACTAAGGAACAGGCTGTTAAAGGAAGCGAATATTGTCTCTTAAATCACATCACTTTTTAATCTGTGTCTAAAACATTTAAAATATAAATATAATCCGGGTAGTATTTCTCTTTAAATGTCACGTCTTTGGTCATTAGTCTCCAGGCAGTGTTTAAAACTTTTTTTAATGATTTAGTTCTTCAACTTTACTGCGTTGGTTTTCTCTGCGCTCACCTGAGTGAGGATATATTTCCTCTGCGTCTCTTCTACTGTGATGAGGCTGGCATTGATGTAATCGTTCATACCCAGCTGCAGACATATTCTGCTGTGGTCAACTGAGGAGGAAAAACAGAAATAATGTGTGAAGGAAATCGTATGTAAAGGATCTGCTGGCTTTCAGCTGACTTTCATTTCACACTTTTGCCAAAGTTGAGTTCACACCAATTATTGGGAAGTATTTGTAAGTATTTGTGGTAATAATGAAAATAGGGAACTCGAAGGATCGTGTCCTTTTGACATCTCTGTGACTGCAGTGACTTCTTCTGTCCGTTGTGTAACACTGCGTCCTCCGACGTCATTGTTGCATTAGCTGTCGTAGTGGATGAAGTAGCTCCGTTAGTAATGTGAATTAATCATCGCTGGCTGACGTTTCAAACAGAACCGCGGACGTTGTAGTGCGTAAAGAAACGTTAAGAAAAACAATGTTTCGATACACGTCAGGGAGATAAAAACACAACTTACATGGACTAACATCTCTGTAACGGTTCCGAGTCTTGTTTTCCGGTAATTTGGCGTATTTGCAGGGAAGGTCACAAGACTGGTGACGGATATCCTGGGAAGGCACAAGACACAGTGATATCACATTTCCACCGTATCACGCTGAAAACATAATTTAACATGAAGTCGTGCATGGTTACCATGGCGATAAAACCTACCAAAGAACGCTGGTTCATTTGGTTTATTTCTTTTTCTCACCGCTTTTTGTGGTCTGATTGTAAAAGACTCTCGAGTAACATTTCAAAATTGGTCAAAATTTGTGAAGTTGGCGACACAATGTTTATATTTCAAAAAGGTCATTACAAAAAAAATATATAACATTACAGACACCAAAAACAACCCGCAGTACGGATGCTACACGGCTCAATGCTTTGAATTCAACCACTGCCCCCCCCCACTCCTGACCCCAGTGGCAGGAAGGGGCATTTTCTGCCTAATTTAAATTACTGTCATGGCAGCTCTCAGTGAGGGAGAAAGTAATTGGTGATCTTGTTGAGGCAGCCGTAACAACCTCCACCTCAGATTGTTGGACAGATTGTGTCCAAACCGCTACATAGAAAAAGAGTCCGTGTTTCCTTGGTCTTTTTTTCCCGGGTCCAGCAAAATGAGTAGGGTTACATCAGGAAGCCGCCTGTGCCAGACAAAATATGTGGACCACAAAAAGTACTGACACACTGGGTCTGCTGAGGCCAAGATTGTCTACAATCACCCCCCAGTGCTGCTAACCAAGACTAATAGAGGGATTTGGACCACTGTGGTTCAAAGACAAACAAGACGGAGCAAAAGGCCAGGAAAGGGAAGAGTGTGGAGGAGGTAGAGAAGGGATTTTAAATGTAGGGACAATAAAGGGACGGAGAGACGGCTTGGGGACGGAAGAAAGGCAGGCAGCGTCGTAGGGGTACTTGAACTTTTCTGCCTGTTCATGGTGTAGACAAAAAGAGGAATGTCAAGAAACAGTTCTCAAGTTCTCAACGCCCCGACGCTGTCGGCATGAGACAGCAAATCGGGAAGTTTGAAAATTAAGTTTGCCGTGATGAATATTGTCAGTGCACACGTACAAATGTTTGTGGATTTTAAATGTAGTGAACAGAGATTAAGTTTGCCGTGATGAATATTGTCATGAACAGATACAGTAAGGGTGTGTGGGTGGAGGAAGAGAAAGATCAGTGGACATTGGTAAAAGGATGTGAGGATGAATTAGTTCTCACTTAATTTTCACCAACACTGCCATGTCCTTAATCTCAGGAGATCTCAGGAGATCTCAGGAGATCTCAGGAGATGTCCTCCAGATCTCAGTGCTAATAAAAAGGAACTTTAAGACACGTAAATACTGTACGGACTTGTGCCTTTCAGAAATGGTGAATAACTATCATTTCATTTGACAACTTCTTGGACAGAAATCATCACTGTTACTGTAATAAGTATAAACTCATAACAAATTATAAAGACCTCCCTCTGATTAGGTTTACACCAAAATTGTCATTATTTTATTGCTTCTTGCGATTGTGGATATGGTTAAATCGCGATATGACAGTTGTAATTACACGTCCTATAGCTGTATAGTGTATCACGATACTTTAGGTGGCAATGATTGGTCAAAAAATATATATACACTATTAATATGACTACAGGAACACATTTGTACTCGTTAGGATACCATGCGTGTCGTGATCAGTGATCAGTGATGTTTGGCAGACTCGTAAATCATCTGGCTGCTGTGAGAAAGCGGAACCCAGGCTACACTTCAGCAGCTCAGCTCAGCTCAGCTCACGGTCTCCGCGACCCCTGCTGCTGCAGAGGAGCAACTGTGGGTTGACACCGGTGACAGCTCCGGTGACTGGAGCTCCGTGTACCCTCTAATAAACACAAGTTCGTACCTGGTAAACGCTGTTCCAGCTCCCGATTTCATCGATTTCCCGAAACTCGGCTTCCATTGCTGACAGTCCAGCTGCCTCCCCCTCCTTCTTCTCTTCCTTCTCCTCCTCCTCCTCCTCCTCCTCTTCTTCTTCTTCTTCTACCGCTCTTTCCTCGTTCTACCGCCGGTGTCTACACCCGCAGCTCCCCTGCTTTTTTTTTACTGTACTGTACTGTAAAGTTTTCTTTACAGTACCGTCACTCTAAGCTAATTTCTGGGTACGGCTGGGGAGATCACCTCTGTTCTGAGCGGAAACACGACACTGGCTCCTCCCACACCGTCAAGCTGCTGTCCTTCAATGCGTAAAAACACGAAATGTCTCGACGTACAATTTTCTTCTCGTCTTTTTTTTTTTTTAATTTATTAAACTTCTCAGAAATTTTTTTTAGCGTGTTACTGAATCATTACACCGATATAACACAGCCGTAAGGCTTCTACAATTTTGTTCTCGTCTTTTTTTTTAAAATTTATTAACCTTCTCAGAAAATATTTTTTAGCGTGTTACTGAGTCATTACACCGCTATAACACAGCCGTAAGGCTTTTTCTTCTTCAGACCCGGAAATGTAATTCCTGAACTCACGGTTGTTGCACACTCGCTCATACGAGGCGTCAGGTCTCGGAGACGCGCACGCTCACACGTCCAGGCACGTTAACGCGCTACTGGTGTGTTTATGGCCAATCCGTGTAGTCAGAGAATGTGGGCTGCTGTGCTACAGAATAGGCTCCGAGTAGAATAAAAAAGAAAAGAAAAGAAACCCGGGATGGGAATGAAATCAAAGTGCTGTGAAGCAACAGACGCGCGTGTCTTGGTGGAGGCAGAGGTTATCATGAATTAGCCGCAGTCCAGTGTTGCTTTCTGGGTGACAGCAGGACGAAAAAGGACCAGGGACTGAGGTGCCATCCAGGTTAGCTGTAACAGCTAAAGACACTGAAGTGTAAACGTCTCTGGGTTCCGTTTGAGTTCAGTCACGAGCGTCTCTGTGTTTGTCTTCTTCTTGTTTTGTCTCCCCCGTGGCTGCCGGTCACTTTCTATGACTGTCGTTCTCTGAGCTGTTGTCGTGGCTGTTGTTGTTGTTGTTGTTTAGCATTAGCGTTAGCCCTCAGCTGTGCTGGGCTGCTGTTAGCTCATGTGTAGTTATAGTTATTGCCTCCCAGTGGTGGAACAAGTGTTCAAATCCTTTAACGGTAAGTCCCTGACAACCGCGTGGCGTAACAACAACAAAACACTGCATTAAAGGCAAAAAAAGTAATAATTCTACTTTGAGTAATGTTTTACAAGAAAATACATCAATGTCAACACTGGACACAGAATAGTTTTATGATTACGTAAACGTTTTCGGAAATATGGAAGGTATGCAAATGTTAAAGAGTGTATGACATGTTATTAGAACAAATGGAACATGAAATCAACTGTTATTGTACTAATCACATCTGACTGTTTGTCATAGGATTATTCTTCAGTGTTCACTGTTTGTATCATCTCATAATAGTCCTGGACAGTGGTGCTGTCATGGAGCTAATGGTGATATGTGTCAAACCTCCTCTCTTTTATTCTTTCTTTCTACCTAAGGTGTAAATATTGATGTAGTTTTTATCAAAAAGACCAGGCCAGGGGTCAATAGGCCGGCCGAGTCTCTTGGTGGACCTTCAAACACAAAGTCAATGTACGGAGGATGAGATCAGAGTCGATCAGATGTTGTTACGGCCGTGCCATAACAACGATGCCTCTCTGTTTCAGACTCCTTGAGTACTCTGACATCCTTGAGAGCTTCTCAAGGCAGCATGGCACCGAAGGACATCATGACCAATTCCCACGCCAAGTCCATCCTCAACGCAATGAACTCACTTCGCAAGAGCAACACCCTCTGCGACATCACCCTGAGAGTGGAGAGCACAGATTTCCCAGCTCATCGCATCGTCTTGGCTGCCTGCAGTGACTACTTCTGTGCCATGTTTACTAGTGAGGTAATGGTTACGTTCTGTGCCATGTTTACTAGTGAGGTAAAGGTTACAAGTATATATATACATATATATATGAATATATATATACATATATAAAATCTTAACACTTGTCTTTTGCTGCTGTGTTCCTGCAGCTCGCTGAAAAGGGGAAATCTTTCGTGGACATTCAGGGCCTTACTGCGTCAACTATGGAGATCCTCTTGGACTTTGTCTACACAGAGACCGTGCTGGTCACGGTAGAGAACGTTCAAGAACTTCTCCCAGCAGCTTGTTTACTGCAACTTAAAGGTGGGTTTACAAGATCTGTCTTTAGTTCATTTAGAACTGAAGGAGCCTAATCTATAGAGTAAAAATGTGCCTATATCTACATATATAAACGTTACCTGCTGGACGTACAGTTCATTTTTAATAATTTAATGACCATGTCCAAAGCAAGTCCAAAAAACAGACGAGTAAAATAGGAAAAATCCCACTCAGACCCGTGGACTTCCAGTGTACAACCTTCTGGGTATAAAGGAGCCACTTTTTGAGCCACATCCTTTCATCCAACATTGGTCTATGACATCACAGGAGCTCTTCTAGAGGAACACAGACCGATTATGGCACAGGTTTTAAATAGAATATATTCAAACCTCCTTCCTGGACTAATCTGTAGCTGTTCTCTGAATTGACCGAGTCTTAATAAAATACTGATAATCACATGGAAGGTCCTGACAATCAGCATTATTGGCCAAGTATGACACATACGAGTAATTTGACTCTGGTTTGTCTTTTTTTTTTAAATACATATATGCATCGTTGCACTATACTTTATTCATAATTAAAGGTTTTCATGTGCTGTTATAACATCTTTGTCCACAAAACGATGACTTACTTGGGAGTATTCCTTCCAAGTTCCATCAAGTATTTCTATCTAGCAGATAGCAGTATATTTGTGTACAGTTACGTAACAAGGCACATTTGTTTTCCCCAGGGGTGAAAAGAGCGTGTTGTGATTTTCTGGAGAGTCAGCTCGATCCCTCCAACTGCCTGGGCATTCGTGACTTTGCCGAAACTCACAACTGCCTGGATCTGATGCAGGCAGCCGAGCTTTTCTCCCAGAAGCATTTCTCTGAGGTGGTTCAGCACGAAGAGTTCATGCTGCTCGGTCAGACAGAGGTGGAGAAACTCATCAAGTGTGATGAAATCCAGGTAGGACTGCAGTCACGCTTTTTTCCAGGGTATTTTAAGTGAAATAAATGTACCATGTGTACCTCATAAAATCATTTAGAAAAATCATTAAAAAAAACAGACCTCTGTGCAAATTATAATTACACATAACAATATGTTCAATCATATAATAGTGCACTGTGTCTGAGAAACTATTAAAATTCACATGGCTATTAGCAGGGATTCTGTATTGGCAAGAAGCTGGTGATACGATAGGTATCATAAAACATGAGGTAAAAATACGATATATTGCGATATACTGCAATACTATAAGCACAATCTCTTTTTTTTCCTCAAACTTTAATTACAGTGAAATTTTCAGTCTCAGACTCTGTTCCATCCGAACATCAGTTCCTAACACTGGAACAGAGGGATCTACATTTGGAATCACTAAAGAAAAAAGAAGAAAAAAAAGAAAAAGAACCAACACCAGGAATATTGGACTGGGAATTGGTGATTAAAAATCGATAACTGATGGAGGATGTCGTCATATCATCATGAAACAAAATATCGCAATATTTTGTGTATCTGTATTTTGATCAGTGTTACTAATAAGTAGGATTATTAGAGATGTTTGTATTTATAGAACATATTAATAGAACAGTTCTCTCTCTCTCTCTCTCTCTCTCTCTCTGTGTCTGACGTCGTGTGAAGGTCGACTCTGAGGAGCCCGTGTTTGAAGCCGTGTTAAACTGGGTCAAACACAACCGTAAAGAGCGAGAGCCGTATCTGCCGGACATGCTGGAGTTCGTCCGGTTGCCCCTGCTGACCCCGCGCTACATTACAGATGTCATTGATGCCGAGGTGAGCGGAGCAGAGCAGGTCGTCGTGTGATTACACACACTGTTCCCTATAAACACTAAAGCGTCTCACCATCACCGTCGTATTGAAGCCTGTTTTGGCTCGTTGTAGCCCCTCATCCGCTGCAGTTTGCCGTGTCGAGACCTCGTTGACGAGGCCAAGAAATTCCACCTGAGACCAGAACTGAGGAGCGAAATGCAGGGTCCAAGAACACAAGCCAGATTAGGTGGGAATCTTTAGTCCAACTTTTTCCGCCCACTCTGTTGATGATGGTGTAAACTTAAGACCTTGGTCTCCTCAGGTGCCAAAGAAGTTCTGTTGGTCATCGGAGGTTTCGGCAGCCAGCAGTCACCGATAGACATCGTTGAAAAATACGACCCAAAAACACAAGAGTGGAGCTTCCTGCCTGTAAGTAAACTACATACTTGAGATATTTTGTTGTGACCCCAGATCTCAGATATATGTATCGACCAATGCGTCTTCGACAGAACATTGCCCGGAAGAGGCGCTACGTCGCCACGGTGTCCCTCCACGACCGCGTCTACGTGATCGGAGGCTACGATGGTCGCTCCAGGCTCAGCTCCGTGGAGTGCCTGGACTACACCGCAGACGAGGACGGGGTGTGGTACACGGTCGCCACCATGAACGTGCGGCGGGGCCTTGCAGGGGCTACAACACTAGGAGGTAGGAAAACAGTTGTGTTTCCAACACAGTTAGGGTTTTTATTTTACTTCAACGTTCTCTGAGTTTTTTTTTTGTTTTTTTTCCTCTTTCCACAGACATGATCTACGTGGCCGGAGGTTTCGACGGCAGCAGGCGTCATACCAGCATGGAGCGATATGACCCGAACATTGACCAGTGGAGCATGCTGGGAGATATGCAGACAGCCAGAGAAGGAGCTGGACTGGTGGTGGCCAGTGGACTCATATACTGCCTAGGTATTTGGGAAATGAGGGTTATGTTTGGTTATATATTTGGTTACCTTCTCTCTGAAGGTTAGTGATTCAGGTGGTCGTCTTTGATACTTTCATTATCGGTGAATCTTTCCTCAAACTTTTTATAAAATCAGTAGAAACAGTTCAGTGGAAAAGTAAAGGTTTTCTAGCAGTGAATAAAGTATAATTTAAATGATTTCTAACCAGTGGTATTTCCAATGAGTCTTTACATTTTATTTTTGATTCTTAAAAAAGGAATGTCAAGAGGTAAAGAGAGACAGACTATTATTATTATACATAAAAAAATCCTTTAATTGCAGTTCCTAGTTCTGACCTATAGTAGTGCTCTGGTGTCTGCCTGGTTCTGTTACATTGTTAATTTTGTCTAAAATTCCATTTTGGTGACAAGAGTTTCAACTGTTACTTAGTCATTAGTCATTGACAGAGACAGACTTACCTCGATCAGAGTTGTAAACATTCCCTAATGTGCCCCCTACAGGTGGGTATGATGGACTGAACATTCTGAATTCAGTGGAGCGCTACGACCCACACACAGGCCACTGGACCAGTGTTACACCCATGGCCACCAAGAGGTCAGGTAGGTGAGACGAGAAGAAAGAAAGAAGAAGAACCTCTCGTGTTCGACTCTGAGCTCAGAGGATTCTTTTTATTATTTCTTTCTGTCTCCAGGGGCCGGTGTTGCTCTGCTGAATGACCACATATACGTAGTGGGAGGTTTTGATGGGGTGTCACACCTGGACTCTGTGGAGGTCTACAACATCAGAACAGACTACTGGACCACCGTGGCCAGTATGACCACCCCTCGGTGTTACGTCGGAGCGACCGTCCTCCGAGGACGACTCTACGCCATCGCTGGGTGAGACCAAACTTTGAAGTGTACTCATTTGTACTCATTTCTCTTTCATTTCATAGTAAATCCAACAGGACGGTCAGCTGTATTTTAAGATTCTTTTTTCTGATTGGTCTATTTATCAGCCAATGACATGCTGTGCAATGAAGTAACAGTAGAACTTTGAACTCTAATCATTATCTTTGGATGTGAAAAAAGTTATAATATGTTAATTAGGGCCGTGTATTGGTAAGAATCTGATGATACGATACGTATCGCAATACATGGGGCAACGATACCATATATCGAGATACACTGCTCTACCATAGGCATGACGATATATTGAGCCTTTACAATTGTAGTCAAAGTGTCGTCATAGTAAAGACTCAATGCTGTTCCATTCCAAGTCGTTACAGTGCTGTAGAATATGGTCACAATATCGCAAAAATGAAATTGCGATGTTTTCTCACTGTCTCTTTGGTCATCACCCTACTTCTCTTAGATATGACGGGAACTCGCTCCTCAGCAGTATTGAATGTTACGACCCTGTCATCGATTCCTGGGAGGTTGTCACTTCCATGGCCACACAGCGGTGCGACGCCGGCGTCTGCGTTCTACGAGAGAAGTGATCTTCACTGAGAGCCAGACCCAGAAGGAGACGGTGGAGGGGGTGAGGAGGGTGAGGGGTGGGGAAAAATCAGCTAGACTTTGTTAAAAATGCCAGTCGGATCGGCCCCGTCTCTCCTGTCGGACTGACCGCGCCTCAGAAAGAGGCCACTGGGGGGCCCCACCACCACCTTCATGACTCTCATTAGTGAACGTTGTTTCCGTCTTCAGCTGTGAGATTATTTTTTTAGTTCAAAGTGCAATATATTTCTACTCCTGATACAAATATATGAAGCTAGAGCAGAGTCGGGCCCCGGGTGCTGCTACATGCCTGATGACCTTTGACCTACTTCCTCCGGTGGACATCATGTTGCCTCCCATGTGACTGACGGTAGTAACGGTACATTGGTGCGGTCATCAAGTGTACTTACTGACATTGATGAGGTCATTAATGGGTCAGTAGGTTTATTTTAGATTCCAGTTGCGTTACGACAGAGTTTATTCGTTATCGTCACACTAAATCACTAATTTTATATTTCTAGTGCGACACCAGAGAGACTTTGTTTTAGACGACGGCTGAATCATAGCAGTTGACTGTTTATTTAACGGACAAAATCGAAGAATCACGTCATTGAAAACGTGGACTTGTACATGTCCACGAAGGACAGATGATGCTGCCCCAGCGCCACCTGATGTTCAACGAAGTGAGTACGTTTGATCACCTGTGATGCAGTCACATTTTATATGTAAATTCACGGAGTGAAGACCAGCCACAGGAAGGCTTCCATTACCCACAATGCTACTGTTTTATTGCTGTAAAACTGAATGTGTCCATTTTAATATAATGTAAAGGTGAATGTACGCATGCCACTAAAACACTGGTGTCATTCGCCGACTGAGGTTGGTTTGGGTTTTTTTTTTTTTTTAATAAAGATGAACATTTTGACATATTCAGATTGACATCTTTTGTCACGCTGCAGAAACTGTTGGCATTTTAACCGACAACCTGTGGCCCAGACTGGTCCAGGCTAGTGGTCTTTTTTGTTATTATTATTATTATTATTATTATTATTATTATTATGACCTGACCTGGGGCTGCGGGTCAGAGATTTAGTTCCACAGGTTATCCTAGTTAGAACAGTGTCTTGTTCTGCAGGTCATACACGATGAATTATTTAAACTAATTACTGACGTAACCGAACGCTGTAGCTAGAGAACAACCCGTGGTTGGATGCTGTCGTAGTGGGATCTTAACGTGATCCGGGTCTGACCTCATGGTGGTGAGGTCAACACTTTATGGCTCCACACCATCTGTTGCACCGGTCCTCTGCCGTGTGGAGACGGTTGGTTGGCCTCGCTCTCCGCCTACGTCACGGATGTAGGGCCGGTCTGCCGTGTGCTGTTCACGCCATTTGTTTTGCTGCACATAATGTCGGTCAGAGTTGGACCGACATCCGTATTTGCGGTTGTGGAACGTTGACTCAACGTATGAAAGCCAATCACACCGAACACACACTGACTATTTAAACAACAAGTCCCGGCAGCCGCGAAGGTGTCACCTGAACATATTCATCCGCGCAGGAATAAACACAAGTCAATGTCGGCGGAAAAGAAGTGGAAGTCGTTGGCACGTGACGTGTGAACAGTTGTCGGAAGGACGGTTTATTGTCGGTTGTGATAAACATGAACGTTATATCAGTGTCATTAGGAAATGATACGTGTGTGTGTGTGTGTTTAAGAGAGAGAGAGAGAGAGAGACGTTGGACTGCAGCCTTGAAGGGTCATTTCATTATCTTGGAAATATTGTGGTGAAGACCAACAAACACATGTTAACTATGTAAATTATGTATAAAGTGTACCATAAGAGTAAAATATTTTAGATATATATATATATAAACTATACATTTCAATTGTATCTACTTCCATTTTTAATGTGCTACGTGACGTCAGATTCTTAAGGGTTCAAATCTGACCGTGTTTTTATTATTTATTGACCCTGTGCATCATGGGTAACCTTTACCAGGGCGGGTGACCCTGACCCTACTGACCCTCACCATGTCATCTGGCAGCAGGACTCCTGTTTTGAACATGAATGTTTTTGCCACCAGATCTCAGCCCTGTGTTTTTAAAGACTTTAAACTGTGAATGTATGTCTCTTAAATGATCACAAATGTACAAAGGGACAGAAACAGACACATAAAGATTTGTAGAAAGTCTTGACAGACATCATTTTGAAATTTACCGTAAAGAACTGAGAGCATCTTTTAATGTACAAAGGGACAGAAACAGACACACAAAGATTTGTAGAAAGTCTTGACAGAATTTACTTATTAGTTGATACAACATTGTCTATTTTGTAGTGGTTTTTTAAAATAATTTTTCTCATATTTCTCACCATTCACATGAATACATTTATCGGGGTTTTTTTATAAAATTTTCTTTTCTTCTTATTGTAATCTAACATGGCAGCCTCCCTGGAGTAACCTTCTTTATCATGTAAAAAAACATTACAACAATATACATAAGAAAAATCACCAATATTTATACCAGTTTTGTCATAAATAAACACAAGTCACTCGTGTTATTATTGTTTAACTTCAGGATCACAGTCTCCTAAAATAACACCGTGATGATGCGACAGTAAGATGTTCGTAATATTGTATTAAAATAATAAAAAAAAACATTACAGTGTGTGTCTGTAGTTTGACGACAAGAAGGGTATTGAACCCCAAACCTCTCGGAAACGTGGTAAAAAAAAGCAGTGGCATTAACACGAATCGCGCGGTGTCTAGTTTTTTGAGCGGACGTGCTCAGTGCCTTGGAACATTCTCTCCTCTGTGTGTGTGTGCGTACGTGAATCAGTGAGTGTGTGTCTGTGTGCAGCCTCCTCCGGTGTGGATGGCGACCGAACGTAACTGAGTCTCGCGGCACAACAAACTGCCATTTACAGGAGAGAGAGAGAGAGAGAGAGAAAAAAGGACACCCTCTAACCGGACCGCAGCCCCTTCTCTCTCTCTTTTTTTTTTTTTTTTGGTAACTTCTCCGTTTGAGCCGTCCTGTCCCAGCCGAAACCATGAGCCTACCTCGGCCGGACGAGTTCAAGCCTCCTCCAGAGTGCCCGGTCTTCGAGCCCAGCTGGGAAGAATTTCGAGATCCGTATGCCTTTATCAATAAGATCCGTCCCATTGCAGAGAAAACGGGCATCTGCAAAGTGCGGCCACCCCCGGTGAGTGCGAGAGGCTGTAAATAATTTAAAAAAAGAAATTGAAAAACGCCGCGGATGCTGACCCGTTTGACCGTTGAGGCGGTTGTGTAGATGGAGCTGAGGATTTAAAGGGACTGATCAACATGGCGGATACACGGCGGCGCTCGGTCTTTGTGCTGCCACAGCTGCCTACCTAGCTCACTTCGGTGACTATTTTCACCGTGTTTTTTGTTTTGTTGGGGATTAGGGGGTGTATATATGTGTCAGTGTGTTAAAAGTGGATTATAGTCGCGGGTCACTGCGTGTCAACACAGTCCCGTGCTCCCGTCATTGAGCCGCTTAGCCAGAATGCTAGCCGAGAGCTAGCGGCTGAAGCTGTCACAATTCGTACTCTCCGCTTTGACTCCTCCGCTGCCCGTGCGGAAGACTCCCGGGTTAGTGGTGCTGTGATAAGGAGATAAAAACACAAATGTCAACACCGTGTCTCCACCATTGTCCCTCACTGTCTGACGTCAGTCTCCGCGATTGTTTTTGGGGTTGTCGTTGAGGAGCATCATGATGCCCGTGGGCTCCTCGTTGCTCTTCGACGTGTAGCAGATCCAACACTTTCCAGTCGAATTGACCTTTTTAAATACACATTTATGTCTGTAATCAACCGCTCAAACTACTCATGTCCCCCCACCCACCCCTCAATAAAGTCACGACATGTTGCCTCCACCTTTAGGGACAAGAACGTACATTGATGTTGATAAATATATTGTTGTTTTTGTTGTGACTTTTTGGACTTGGTGTCGTGTGACTGGTCTTATTACACGTTATTTACACTCGTTATCGATCGGTTTCTCGCACACGGGCCACTTTGGTCATACATGAGCCTGTGGTACAGACGGGTGTTGTCCTCCATGTTGGCTTTGTGGTAAACTGGGTTGGTGAGTGAGTCTTCCATCTGGCCATTTTGTTTGCCAGTGGGGGATGTTGCTGCTGACTTTTGACAAGAATTTTGGGGGGATTAGTCCAGTCTTCACAAACTGTCCTGCCGTATTATATGTCAGGTCAGGATTAAAGATGATTTACTGATGTTGCAGGAGCTAAAAAAACAAACAAAAAAAAAGGATCTCTGTGTTCTTTCACTAAAAGTGACGGCCTTGTCTTGGTAACATGAACCCTATTGTTGTTACTGTGTTTTTTTTCTTAATTTTTCTTATGAACGAATTTATTAAAAGGCTAGAAAAAAATAATCTCATATTTTCGACTCGATACAGGAACAAAAGTGTTGACCCAACTCCCAGAGCGTTGTATTTTAATGACCTTCGTGTGTTTCTCACTGTTCAGGGATGGCAACCTCCATTTGCCTGTGATGTTGACAAACTGCACTTTGTTCCTCGTATCCAGAGACTCAATGAGCTGGAGGTGAGTTTTGTCAGTCCGGTTAAACCACTGAATATTTGACTGTCTATATCTGTGACTTTTCTTTTTCTTTTTTTTCCCTATGATAAAACTGTATGTAAACAGATGGTGGAGCTAATATTGACACAAAAACAGGAAACAGCCACGAAATATGAAAATATAAAATGAAATTTTTGAATAAACAAATGAATGGATGATGTCAAACTGCTTAAATTAAAGGCGGAGATCGGTAAAATTATATATGAGAATAAATTCATGAGAACAAAGTAATAAAAATATTATGCAAATAAAGTTGTAAATTTAGGAAAATAAAGTCGTCAACATATTAAAAAAAACCTTAATGTTACAGGGAGAAAGGTGCCAATGGAGTTTAAATATATGCGAATATAGTTTTTTATTTATGAGGAAAAACAGAACAGAAAAAAGTCATGGATTTATGAGTCATAAGTCGTAGGTTTAAGATGACTTGTTCACCAGTGTTTACCAAATATAAGGGTGAAATGTTGACGACTTCAGGGCTACAGTCCTGCCACCATTTTGCTGAACATTTCTCCTGTTGATGCATATGCAGTAGTACTGTGTAAAACTGTGGATCAAATATTAGCCCACGTTACTAACAACGTGTCTTTGTTGGATGACGGTTGTTGTTTCGTCCTAACCCTGGCATTGTTTTATTTTCTGTTTCAGGCACAGACCAGAGTTAAACTCAACTTTTTGGACCAGATTGCCAAATTCTGGGATTTGCAGGGATGCGCCCTCAAGATTCCTCAAGTGGAGAGAAAGATTTTGGATCTATATAAACTCAACAAGGTAGTGAAGGGATTTGATCCGACAGACTTTTCACCTCCTACGCTCAGTGTTGGGTAGAACTCACCAACCCACGGTGCTTTGACGTTTCAGCTGGTTGCGGAGGAAGGAGGTTTTGACATCGTCTGTCGGGACAGACGATGGACCAAGATCGCGGTCCAGATGGGCTTCTCCCCGGGGAAGGCAGTGGGCTCCCACCTGAGAGGGCATTACGAGAAAATCCTCTATCCGTTCAATCTCTTCCAGAGTGGAGCCAACCTCCTGGTGAGTTGGGGATACAAACAGAGACGACGATGATGATGACGGGACGTGTCACTGATTATTACGAAGATGATATTGATCACCAGAGCTGTCAAAATAATTATTTACAGTCGTTAATCTGTGAAGTTGATCTGGTCAATAGTCGACATGTTCACCGTACATTTAAAATCCCATCATCCACTTTGTGGGTGTTTCAACCTCTGGTCAGCGGCCCTGACACAAGCCAGTGCCGCTGACCAGAGGTTGAAGACTGATTAATATTGTAGAGGACAACGACTGGACTGAAGTTTAGAGACAACCACACGTTCTACTTTCATTTTAGCAGGAACCGACAAGACACCGTCCAGATGAAATACACCAACTCTGTGACGAGACAGTTTTACTTTTACATTTTTGAATATTAATAATTCCATTATTTGGATTAGTCACAGATAAAAACAGAACATTTCAGGAAATAATCATGACTAATTATGGTCACGATTAATCACGATTAAAACATTGTGATTGTTTGACAGCCCTGGTTATTACAGAACATTTTCTGCTCCTTGGAGTTGGGTTCAAATCCCTCACCGTGTTAATGATAATGTGTAAAAATACTGTTGTTTTTTTTCTGTAGTTAACACTTAACGTTAGCATTAGTTCAGCGAAAGCCTCGTCTGTCTGCTGTGTGTGTGTGTGTGTGTCGTGTCATTGCTAATATTGGCTGATATGTTGCAAAGAGAGCTCCTCTGGATTGGTGCTGTGTGACCTCCTGGACTGGTCACTGTAAATTTGTGTAACTACCAAAGCTCTCTCTTGCCTCAGGCGCCAGAGCTAGCTTCCAAACTGATGGGTTTGGAGGTTGATCCTGAACTGGAACAGGTACGTTTGTGTCACAGCCGCTGAAGCCGATGAAAACGTGCATGTGAATCTAACTGTCTGCACACTTGGTCCTCTGAACGTTATGTTCCTGAACACAGGTTGTTGTTGGTTTGTTTTTTGTTGTTTTTTTTTTGTTGTTGTCTTGCTCCTGTCAGTCAGGCGACATCTGAAATGTACCTGTGAACAGGAAGCCTTTGTTTCTGCCTCAGACAGAAGCCGTCTGTCTCTCTGTCTGATTGATGTCATTTCTCCAATGACCTTTCTAGAGCTCAACCACAATAGTAGAAACTCTGCTCAGCCATTGGCCCAGGCCTGGCTCTGCCCTCCTTTCACTAACGGAGCATGTTCACAGTTTAGTTTCTCGACTTCCTGGTCAGAGTTGGTGGCGACTGTCACTAACCACAGGTTCAGGTCGATTCCTTTTCTTCTGGTGGTTTGTTTTCAGTGACACAAACTTTTTTCAGCAACGTCACTTTGACGAAGTTTGTCCTGATGATAATTCACGGCCACTGTTGATTGGTCAGTTTCAATAATCGTATCAAGTTTATTCCAATAGTGTCAGGTTCAATATTTCTATATAATATTTACACTTTATTGATTTTAATGCACACTTTTCCTTTAGTTCTACACATGAGCTTCAGGTTTTTTGTTTTTTTTTCTGTAGATTTACATTTGTGTGTTCTGTTCCTCAGTGCGTCCAGAAGCCGCTCCAGTCCGCGGAGGGTAAAGAAATGGACGACGCCAAGGAGGAGACGAAGCAGGAACCGACCCAGAGGCCCGCGGCCCCGTCGCCCGAGGCGTACCACAGCGCCCGCAGAGGCAAGCGCATGAAGAGCGAGGTACGTGTCGCCGCAGACGGGACTAGCATTGACCAAGAACAGCTGGTTCACATCCCGTTTTTTCTCCTGCAGCCCATCTGTGTGAAGACGGAACCCGGCGACCCGGGGGAGAACCGGCCAAACCTGCGGCGGAGGATGGGTTCTATTGTCACCAAACAAGAACCAGGTGAGGCGTTGGCACCCGACGAGGAGAGAGCAGTGACGTCAGCGCCATTGTTTGTGTTGTTGGCTGCACACGGGAGTGATTACAGTTCCAGTTACTGTGGTGAAAAACCACGGCTGAGACATCCCGAGTGTCAGTCTCTGTCTGTGTCTGTCTGTGACTGTCTGTCACAAGATGACGTCATGTGACACAGGTGTAAGATGGCCTCATTTCTAAAGGTTAGCGTTGGTGCTAATTGGTTTTCAACAATTTCTCCAGTGTTGGATCAATAAAGTCCAACCTTAACCTTTTAAGGCCACAAACACACACACTTCTGGGTGTGTTTGTGTGGGGGGGGGGGGGGGGGGGGTGTCGGTTGGCTGTTGAGCCTCACACACTTGGCTCCATGTTATAATTAACGTAACTTTATTGTAAATATCGACCGCTCTGCTCAAGTAGAAATATAAATTAAAGCAGGTTGGTTCTGCCTTCTACAGAAAATCAATTTTCTGATTGTTATTAATGTGAGTTCAGGAGAAGAAACAATTCACTCTGTTTACAGTTCACTCCCATTGGTTAGTCAGACAGTAGAGCTCTCTGCTTCTGTTCACACTGTCAACATGAGTTCATTTGACTTCAATGTGTTGATCTTTTTTTTTTTTCTGTGGCCTCGTAGAAAAAGAGATCCCCATTCCAGTTAAACAGGAACCAGTTGAAATGAAAGAACCAATGGTGGAAGTGGACAGAACCAAGTCACGGTACAAGAAAGTGGCTCCGCCTCCAGTGTCTCCAAGTCCGGTGAGTCCAGACTTCCCTCTCTCTGTCACTGATGATGATGTCGGGGGTGTGAGGGTGTGGGGGGGGTTGTTTTTGTAGACGTGGTTGCTGATTTCCTCTGTGAGATCTGGCAACCCCGACGTCACCTGTGAAATGCTCCGTGTGAATAAACTCTCTTGTTGTTCTTGTGTTTGCTGTGTAAAAGCAGTCGCTCACAAAATCCCCCCCCCCGCAGGTGGACCTGGTGGTGTGCCTGGTGTGCGGCAGCGGGGCGGACGAGGACCGCCTGTTGTTGTGCGACGGCTGTGACGACAGCTATCACACCTTCTGCCTCATCCCTCCTCTGCTGGACGTCCCCAAGGGAGACTGGAGGTGTCCCAAGTGTCTGGCTCAGGTGGGAGCGGAGAGAGAGAGAGAGAGAGAGAGCTGCACGGCCTCCGTGTGTCCAGCAGGTGGTGCAGGTTCCGCGGCTGCTCTGTAACGTGTTTTTGTTTGTGTTTTTTGACGCCGGTGCAAACCTCTGGAAGCGTTCGGCTTCGAACAGGCGTACAGAGACTACTCCCTCCGAGCTTTTGGACAGATGGCAGATGCCTTTAAATCAGATTATTTCAACATGCCTGTTCACGTGAGCACAACTGAATATATAAATATATATATGTGCATATATATATTTCACAGTCTGTGTGGATCTTGGTGTTTTCAAATAAAATGTAATTCAAACGTTGTCCAGATGGTGCCGACAGAGCTGGTGGAGAAGGAGTTCTGGCGTCTGGTCGGGGCCATAGAGGAGGACGTGACGGTGGAGTACGGAGCAGACATCGCCTCCAAGGAGTTCGGGAGTGGATTTCCAATTCCCAACGGCAAATTCAAGGTTTCCCCGGCCGACGAGGTAGACGCTCACGTGACGAATCACATGAGCCACGCAGCAGCAGTGTGTCTGTGGTTGGACCTGGTATGACCTTTGACCCCCTCCCCTCCCACCCTCCTGTAGAAGTACCTCCAGTGCGGCTGGAACCTCAACAATCTGGCCATGATGAACCCGTCTGTTCTGACCCACGTCACCGCCGACATCTGTGGGATGACGCTGCCCTGGCTCTACGTCGGCATGTGCTTCTCCTCCTTCTGCTGGCACATCGAGGACCACTGGAGCTACTCCATCAACTACCTGCACTGGTGCGGCAGCCACGCATTCACAGCACGGCTCGGTCTCACGCTGTAGGTGACGGTGTGTTTACTGGGATGGAGAATTGTCTTCTGACGACTTGTCGTCCTTCTTCTCCAGGGGAGAACCCAAAACCTGGTACGGAGCTCCTGGTTTCGCAGCAGAACAGTTGGAGGAGGTGATGAGGAAACTGGCCCCAGAGCTGTTCGAGTCCCAGCCTGACCTCCTGCATCAGCTGGTCACCATCATGAACCCCAACACGCTGATGTCCTACGGCGTCCCGGTATGTTGTTGTGACAGTTGGTCACATTGTCGTCGTGGTCGCTCCGCCCCAACCGCCGTCGTCATTTTTCTTTTTTTTTTTCGTCTTCTTTTTTGTTTCAGATCTACAGAACGAACCAGTGCGCGGGTGAGTTTGTCGTCACGTTCCCCAGAGCGTACCACAGTGGCTTCAACCAGGGCTTCAACTTCGCCGAGGCGGTCAACTTCTGCACCGTGGACTGGGTAAGTCCGCGTTCGTTTTTTTTCGTTTGTCTCTGTGGGAGAAATAATCGTAAAAGTACAAACGGGAAAATGTGGATTTACGGAATTTATAATTGTACACGTAATTCAAACTGAGCCGGGGATTTGTTTGTTTCTGTTTCCCGTCTGAACAGATGCCTCTGGGCAGACAGTGTGTCGACCACTACCGTCTGCTGCATCGATACAACGTCTTCTCCCACGACGAGATGGTTTGTAACATGGCTCTGAAGGCGGACACGCTGGACGTAGTGTTGGCCTCGGCCGTCCACAAGGACATGGTCATCATGTTACGGGAGGAGGACGACCTGAGGGGGAGGATGAAGAAACAGGTGACACGCAGACCGACACACAGACCGACCTACAGTCCGACGCAGACTGACTCTCGGCTTCGACTTTTCTGACATTTTCAGGGCATCATACATTACAAGGAGGCGAAATACGACCACCTGCAGGACGACGAGCGTCAGTGTGTCAAGTGCAGGACCACCTGTTACCTGTCGGCCATCACGTGTCCCTGTCGGCCGGGGGTGCTGGTCTGTCTCCACCACATCGACGACCTCTGCCCCTGCCCGGTCACCAGCAAAACACTGAAGTAGGTCAATGTGGAGCTGCAGCTGTTTTAATTAATCCACGACCGTGGACGGACTCTGTATATGTCAGTGAACTGTCGTTACCACGGAGCAGGTGGGATGGTACTGTGCCATCTGCTGGAGATAATAAATTAGAACACTAACTAGAAGTAAAAAATTAATAGTAATTATGTGTAAAGATTTGCATTCTTCTTGTTTCTAAAATTCAAACAACAACAATGATCCGTCTCTCACCACCAGGTTGTTTTCAATAGTTGGATTAAACTAAACCTTTGTTATTATTTTTAATGTTTTTAAATAGTTATTTATCTTGCTGTTACATCAGTGTGTGTTTGTTACTGTTTGATGGACGACTCGACCTGTGATGTCATCACGGTGGTCGTCCGTGACGGTGACGGTGGTGTTGGCGTGCGGGTGCTGCTGCTCTGACACTCGGTCTCTGACTCCACAGCTGCAGATACACACTGGACCAGCTGTTCCCCATGATGAAGGCGGTGAAAGAACGTGCCGAGCTGTACGACGCGTGGGCGGCCCAAGTCTCCGAGACCCTGGAGGCCAAACTGGAGAAGAAGAAAGGTGAACGATAAACTTTAACGATTAATTAGTTCAGCTTCTCTGTGATTGGCCGTGTTGTTTTAAGCTCCTCCCATCTCTCCCCCTTCAGGTTTGGCAGTTTTCCGCTCCCTTCTTGCTGAATCAGAGGCAAAGAAGTTTCCGGAGAACGACCTCCTGCGTCGGCTGCGTCTGGTCACACAGGACGCAGAGAAGTGCTCTTCGGTCGCGCAGCAGCTGTTGAACGGCAAAAGACAGACCAGGTGACATCATCGCTCTCCTCCGTCAGTCCCGTGTTGTCGAGGGAGCGTGTTTTCACGTGTTGTTGACCCGATGCTTTCTCCGTCAGGTATCGGTGCGGGAGTGTGAAGTCACGGAGTCACCTGACGGTGGAGGAGCTCAGCTCCTTTGTCAGGCAGCTGTACAACCTGTGCTGCAGTCTGCCCCAGGCTCCTCTGCTGAAGGTCAGTAAACAAACAAATCTTTGTTTGTTTATATCAGTGTTTTCATAAATACTTCCAGATTCTCTCTTTGTACTACTTAGTGTACATTAAATTATGTTTTTTTTAAATAGATGTATTTGATACAATAACAACAGTTTTTTTTTTGTTTAAAAAAGGTTGATGACAAACTTTAATTTTAGACTTCCACGACTGGCGTAGCTAACGTTAGCCCTGTGGTGAAAGCACAAAAAAAAGAAAAAATAAAGGCCTCAAGAATCGAAGCAGAATGTCTATCATTTTTTACCAAACCTCCTGGTGTCACTTAAAATATTGAGTCAGATTCATTTTAGTTGCAGTACTGCCACCTCCTGGGCTGCAGTATGTGCAACAGCGTTACTTTTTGCACTAGAATCTAACAAAGATGAGTTAAAAGTTATTTTACCTAAAGGTTTTTTTATATAAATCAAATTTGTCTGAATCTTTTTCAGTCTATTTTTTCCTAATTTTCCGAGTGTTACTGAAGTAAAAACCCGCGTGCGTTCATTTGACCTCCTGTACGTCTGGGTTCTCGTCTCCTCCAGGAACTCTTGAACCGCATCGAAGACTTCCAGCAGCACAGCGAGAAGGTCCTGGCCGACCCGGTCCCCAGCGTGGGTGACATCCAGACGCTGCTGGACGTCAGCTTCGACTTCGACGTGGAGCTGCCCGAGCTGCCCCGCCTCAGGGAGCGGCTGGAGCAGGCGCGCTGGCTGGAGGCGGTGCAGGCGGCGCAGCCCGCCACGCTGACGCTGGAGACCATGAGGAGGCTCATAGACCAGGGAGTCGGACTCTCGCCTCATCCGTCGGTGGAGAAAGCCATGGCGCGGCTTCAGGAGCTGCTCACCGTGTCCGAGCACTGGGAGGACAAGGCCAGCAGCCTCCTTAAAGCCAGGTGAGGGCAGCACTGAGTGGCGGCGTCGAGATGATTTAAACTGAAGAGCTGTTTGAAATGGACTGAAAACGACAGGAGGAATCTGTGATCGTTACTTTGACTGTGTTTGAAGTTCTGTGTCCAGGCATTAGCACTGACTGACTGACTGACCGACTGACTGACAGACTGACTGACAGACCGACTGACTGAATGCTTGACCGACCGACCGATTGACTGATCGACTGACTGACTGGACGACTGACTGACTGACAGACCAACTGACTGGCCAACCGACCGACCGACTGACTGATCGACTGACCGACCGACCGACTGACTGACTAACTGACCGACTGACTGACCGACTGACTGACCGACTGACAGACTGACTGACCGACTGACTGATCGACTGACAGACCGACCGACTGACTGACTAACTGACCGACTGACTGACCGACTGACTGAATGCTTGACCGACTGACTGACTGACTGACTGACTGACCGACTGACTGACTGACTGACCGACTGACTGACAGACTGACTGACAGACCGACTGACTGAATGATTGACCGACCGACCGATTGACTGATCGACTGACCGACCGACCGACTGACTGACTAACTGACCGACCGACCGACTTGTTAATGTCAATATGATGTCAGTGCTCCTGATTTTGCTTCGTTTTAATTACAGCTAGTGCAAAATGCTGACGCTAGAATATGCAACAAGACCAACAAAAAGTGAGCATCATGTTTAGTTCTGCCCTCATTCCATTGGTTCTCAGTGCTGTTCAACATTAACTGTCACAAGTGCTTTTTTTCAAAGGCTTTTAATGGCATGGCTGTAGGAATGTGCATTCTGCTTCTGTCCATGATCAGAACCAGACTAATGTCAGCAGTCGCTGCTGCAGTCTCCACCTTAACTTAAGGTTAATAACTGTCCACCATTTATATTGACATATATATTTATATATTCTTAGCTGCTGCAGCTTTTGGATGTAACATTGGAAATATTGTTTATCTTTATCGTTGTGGCTTTATTATTTGCTACTTCTCAGGACTAGAGTTTTACTCGATGCTGAAAAATACTTTTTTTTTTTTTACTCCATTTTCAGGAATATCTTTACAAAATGTGCAGATCTGTGGTTAGAAAAAGCTTCCAACACACCTGACTGACGCTCAGGGCGCGGCCGCTGTTTCCCTCAGTTTATAAAGTCTGTTCTACACCCTCCCCTCTCTGCCCCCCCGCCCCCTCTCCTCCTCAAACAGACCCCCACACTCCATAGAGACCCTGATTGCTGCTGCTGAGAAGACGTCCAACATCCCCGCCTACCTGCCCAACTGCGTGGTCCTGAACGACACCATCAGAAAGGCTCGCGAGTGGCTTCAGGAAGCCGAGGAGCTGCAGGTGGGCGTTACCCCCGGAGATGTTTGATATCTGCCCAGACCAACGCCAATACTTGATGTCTCTCTCTCTCTCTCTCTCTCTCCAGGGCGGCGGCGGCGTGCTGCTGGTGGACAGGCTGTCGGACATGGTGCTGAGAGGTCAGGCTGTTCAAGTCCACCTGGAGCCGTTGGACAGGCTGGAAATGTTGATGGTGGAGGTGCAGGAGTGGAAGGATTCTGCGGCCGAGACGTTCCTGCAGAAGGAGTCGACGCTCACTCTGTTAGAGGTAAAATAACGACAAGAAAATAAAGTAACAGACGTCTCTTAGACAGGTGTCTATAAACTACTTTGGAATCAACTGTAAATCCACTGATTGAATGAATAGATCTCTGTCAGAGGCACTGGGTTTTTGATCATGTTTTTTTTTTTTCATGTTTGTTTTCCACAGGTTCTGTCTCCGAGGTGTGACTACGAAAACGTCCGATCTCCAAAGAGGAAGGCCAAGAAAGGCAAAGAACTGTCTAAGAACGTCAAGAAGAAAACGTCAGGGCTCAACACTCTCAGCGATGTGGAAAAAACACTTTCAGAGTCCAAGGATTCTACCTCCGCGGTAAGAGTCCAGTTGAATTTAGTTTAAATTTAACAACAGACCAGGTTCACTGTCACAGCTGAATGTTTTTTCTAAAGAGAACACTTTCCTTTTCTCCCCTCTAGATGGCAGCTCTGGAGGAGTTGCGGGTCAGGGAGATCGAGGCTTTCTCCAATCTCAGGGCAGCAAACGAGTCGAAGCTCCTCCCCACCGCCGACTGCATGGACCTCAAAGTGTGCGTCTGCCAGAAGGCCCCCATGGGGGCGATGTTGCAGTGCGAACTGTGCAGGGACGCGTTCCACAGCGTGTGCGTCAGAGACGTGTCGGACTCCACCAAATCACAGCCGTGGCTCTGTCCACAGTGCCTCCGGTCGGAGAGCCCCCCCTTGAACAGAGTCCTCTCCCTGCAGTCGTCTTTGAGGCGGATCGGCGTGCGCTTGCCCGAGGGCGACGCTCTGCACCACCTGGTGGAGAGGACGGTGAACTGGCAGCGGCGGGCACAGCAGTTTTTAAAGACCTGCAGCTCTTCAGACATGGCAGAGAGGGCGGGAAGTCCCCCCACCCTGACCTGCTGGGTACCAGGCAGCCACGAGGCTCAGAGCGACTCTCAGGTCCTTCATCGTCGACTTTGTTGTTTTTAACCAACACTCGTTTATGGGGATGAAACGATGCATCGTAAAAAAACAATACAAATGTGGGAAACGATGCATCGTAAAAAAAAAAAAACAATACAAATGCGCGACAATTTGCATCAAATAAAAAATGAATCACGCATCAAGACGTAAGCAGTAGGCTGGGGTATCACCAAAAGTCACTGGTCATACCATGATACTACACACTCTAGTACAGTAGGTGGCGCTGCGCATCTAATAATGCTGGTTGTGACCCACTATTAAACCCAGACGTCAGGTCCCTACGTGGACTAAGAGACGTTCAGGTGTTGGAACAGAACGTGGGAAGAACCAACGGTGTTCCTCTAAAGAAAGGAACTCTTTCCACTTCCTGTTTTTTCTCTTCTTCTGTTGTTGTTTCATATATCGACAGTTAACCAGGTCAACCAGATCAGACCAGTTTGAGTTTGGTTCACAGACCTTTATTACAAATAAGGGATCATTGGATTTGATCACAGTTTGTCTGGAGCTCATCTCTCGTGATGAAATCACATTGTTAACAAAATAATTTGTCAGTCGTATCGTGAGTTCGTTACATCCCGTTACTCATTTACAAATAATGGAAAGTGTGCGACAGATCGTCAAAGTAAAGTTCTGTTGTGCTTTGACACAGGCCCCCTCCCTGACCCCAGAGTGGAACAGGTCGGGCCACGCCGTCTTCTACACGGAGCAGAGATGTATACCACTGCAGGGTCAGTGTCCGCGCCGCCGCCGCCGCCGCCGCCCGTCACTCTGTTTGTCACATTTGCAGCTCAGTGGTTTTGGTTCTGGTGGCTAACGTCCTGTCCCGCAGGCCTGAGCCCGGAGCTGGAGAAGCTGATGGTGGAGGGCCTCCTGCTGCAGGTGCAGCTCCCGGAGGTGCCGAGCCTCTACTGCACATTACTGGACAAAGCCAGCAGCCTGCAGACGGACAGATGCACGTCGCCGCCGCCGCTACCGCCGCAGGACGAGTCCACGGACTGCGAGCAGCCGACGCAGTTCAACTCTCAGGGAAACAATCTGTCACTGGACCAGGTACAGACGGAACCACTGCCTCTGGTCCTCACACCTCACCGCCTCCGGGTCTAACCGGGAACTCCCTTTTTCATTTTCAGGAGGAGGTCGACGCCATGAGGGAAACGATGGCCGCCGCGGGAAAGAAATCAAAGCGCCACCTGGACAGAGAAGGATCGGACGCCGGCGGCGGCAGGAGGAAGGACAAAAAACAGACCCACAAGAGACAGAAAATGAACAAGAAGAACCCGCAGCACAGAGCGACCTCCACCTCCTCCTCGCCGCGCTCCGATTTCTCCCAGTCCGACGACTCGGACGAGGAAATGGCCGTGTGTCCGGCCGAGAGATGTCAGCTGCCAGAGGGCGACGAGGTGAGACATGACACCACAGTGTTCGTCTTGTAGAACGTGTTTTTTTTTTTTTTTTCTAACCATAAATCAGTTCCATAGTTTAACAGTTAGCACGCCTGCCTGGGATGCAGAGAGTCCTGGGTTCGATTCCCTGATGAGCCACAAACTTGGCACCGACAGATCTGCTGTTAGAACAAGATGTGTGTTCAACAGAATAAAATATAAAAGGGATCAATAAAAGTTTAGATTAATTTTTAAGGAGCATGACACCATCCCCACACACTGGTCCCCGGGTGCTTGAGCTGCCCCCTGCTGGCTGTGGTGACGGGTAACATTTGGTTGTGTGCAACAGTAAATAATTAACTTTCCTTAAAGAAAAGTTTCCCTCTTGAACTAAGAAACGTAATTATCATTAAACTCTTTGTTTTGTTACATCACCCAATCAGAGCGCTGATCCATGTGTTTGTGTCGTCGCCCCCCTCAGGTGGACTGGGTCCAGTGCGACGGCAGCTGCAACCAGTGGTTCCACCAGATCTGCGTGGGCGTCACGGCTGAGATGGCGGAGAACGAGGACTACGTTTGTGTCAGGTGTACGCTGAGTGACGGACACGTGGGGAAATGAAGAGGAGAAGAAGAAGAAGGAGAGATTTTTGCTGAAGGATTTTTTGCTGGAGAGGTCTGTCGTTTAATGAAGCCACCAGTCCAGATGTCAAAGATACCCCCCCTCCACGCCACGACCCCCCCCCCCCTAGTCCTTCCTGCCCCTCCTTCTTTTGTAACAACGGTGCTATCTACTCTCTGACTTTTTGTCCAGAACTTTACTGTTTAGAGTTTTTTGGGTATTTTTTACTTCCGTATGATTTTGTTTCTTCTTTTGTTTGTGTTTGAATGAACGAAAAAAAAAACATGATGTGAAATGTGCTGCATGGGATTCCGTTACTTTGATGCAGAGGAGTCTTACCACATGAAGCACCCTGTCAGGAGGGTCAATCAAAGGGGGTTTTATGGTCTGTTCTGGAGTCTTGCATGTTCAACAGGAGCCCAGGAGACGACGTCCACGTTTCCTCTCTACTCAAACTCAAAACTACAATATCTGTTGGGGATTTTTTTTTTCCCTCTTTGAAATCCAGTGTTAAGTTCATGCATCTTAATGTAATTATTCACATTTTTTATAGAATAGGTTTATTTATCTGAGCAATAATTTTTTGACTGCATTATCCTAAATGGCTTGATCTCTGCTTGGTCGTGTTGGTGTGTTCTGGGCAGCGCGGTGGTGCAGTGAGCTGGACCGTGGACCGGAGACGCAGCAGGATGGACGAAGGACGGAGTCTCTGCGGAGACGTTGGTCCACAGCGGTGCGGTCTGGTTTACTGTGTAGGACTGGGGACAGTAGCTGTTACAACCTCTGACTTGTGGAATAAAAACCCTTTTGTTTTATGGACCGGTCTTGATGCTTACCTTGAATATGGAATAAGAAGTTGTCTTCACTCTGAATCAGGGGTTTTTCATGGTCTAAGTTTGTAGATCTCCCTCCCCCTTGGAGCTTGGAAAAACCCAACTATGTCCCTAAATCTCCCGTTAGAATCTGAGTTCACAGGCTGCAGAAAAATGAACAAATATTTTCCAACATCAGTCCATATAAATCCAGTTCTTTAAAAAAGAATCTTACTTCCTTGGTCCTCGTCTCCTCTTGTTTTGAAATTCTTTTTTTCTTGAATGTTGTGTTAAGATTTGAGTCATAGTAGGTGTTCTGTGTTCAAGGCCCAAATCTGCTGTTCTAACCAATGGTCTCCTGTCACATTTCTCCACTTCTCAGTTCGACGTCCACCAGCCACGGAGTCTGTTTTAATCTCCTTTTATGTCCTTTTTTTTTTTCATAAGGTTAAGCTGCACTGAGCCCAAATGAAGCAGAAGAATAAAACGTTCCCTCGGTGGTGGTGCAGAACTTAGTGTCTTTTTATGCAGATGACATTTTTTTTTCTTCAGTGTCTGGATATTGTATTAATTGGAACAGAGAGGGTTGGAACTGATGTCATTTTCTCCAAAATTCCTTATTCCAGTTCACTGCCTACCTCTGGTTTTTAAGTCGAATTGAACCCAGACTTAGAAGTAGTTGGAACAGGAATGGAATTGTTGCTAAAAAAAAATTACACTAATAGTAAAAATGTTAGGATTTTTTTAAAAAATAAAAGTCTTGGAGACAGAATTGTAGCCTTTGGATTTGGACGTCTTAGATAAAAGATTAAATACAGAGGGTTAATTGTTTTTTTATAACATTGGTTTTAATGTTGCTTATTTTATTGTCTTTTTTTTTTACCACGGACGACGAGTCCATAAGAATTTCTGCCTTTTGTTGACCTTTGGTGACCTTTGCTTTACACAGTGTCCAATCAACGTCAAGGGTTATTTGGATAATATGACTTTTATTGACGATTTTATGCACAGGCGGATAAAATGCAAACTCAAAATAGACGAGAAAATCATCCAAAACAAGTTGTGGATGTGGACAAGATGTTTGTTTGTTTTTTAATAGTAAATGTGTAATAGACAAACATTTTGAAAGGTCTTACAGATTTAATTCTAACAGAAATCAGTAGTCTTTTATTGGTGATTATTTTATTGACTTGTGTAATAAAAAAAGATTTATACCTGATGTCCAGTTGGAGCTCCTCCTGGAGAGAAACCTACTAAAACCACAGGGACAACAGGCAAACTCTACATGGAAAAACCACTAGTTGCCACCAGGGATCAAACCAGTTCTCAAGCTAACCACCATGTGGTCCACGTGAATGACAATGACAAAGCTGCTTCTTCATCTTCTTCAAGTCAATGAACCAAAGACCCAATCCCCACTCCTTTCGATTTCTATTTTATAGTCTCTTGTTTTTTATTTTTTTTCAATTTTTTTTTATTACACCACAGGAGGCGCTAATATTTAATCTGGAAGCTAGTTCTGGACCGTACAGAGAGGATGGACTCTGACTAGAAGTTTATTTACAAACTTATTTTGAATTGTACATATTTTGTATATATATATTTACCTTTGATTCTTTGCCCTCTTTTTTTTTTTTAGTCCTAATTTGGTTTTGTTTACATTTCCTGTTTTGGTGATATGGTGTGTCATGTATATTTTAATAGTATAAAGGAATGGTGTTCTTTGAGGGAAGGCGCTCGGTTGTGTATTCATGTTGTATTTTAAATCGTATTTTGTATTAAAAATAAATAAATAAAAAAAACAAAGACGATTTGAACACAAAAAGTACGTTTGTAAATAAAAAAAACAAAGACGATTTGAACAAAAAAAGTACGTTTGTATTTATTGTTTTGTTTTTTTTTTACGGTCCGATTCTGTCACAGTGTCTTCTGTGCTGCTGTAATTGTCTGGTGTGTTTTTACCTCAGTTATCAGTTCAAAGTCAGTCTTAATGTCTGGTTCTCTCACCTGTTCGTCTGTGATTGGTCGATAAAGGACCCAATCAGCGGTCGCTGCTGTTCGGCTCTTTCCGTGAGTCCACAGTGTGATTTAGCGCACACGCTTAGAAACATATAGACACACGCACATACGATCTGAGCCGAACTCGGTGAGTGATTTCTTTTTTTTCCGCCTTAAGTTTAACTCTACAACACAATGTTGGATATTAACTGATGTTAAATGACTCGTTCTGTTGTCACTTAAGTGTCCGAACAAGTGTTAGACTCCGGGGAGAAAGTTGTTCGACTTGTGACTTCAGTGATAGCGAACTGTGAAGCTGGGGCTTCCAGGCTCGATCTGAAGCTAATGTCAGCTAATGATTAACTAACGAAAACACGGTTTGTGCTCTGACAGAAGCTGCTCGCCGCTCGTCTCTTATTTTACTTAGTGTAATTCCTAATGTATCCAGATGACGAAGGCGCTTAAGCCGCTATAATTGTCAACACATTTAAAGAATAAAAATGAGAGAACTTTATGCGTTTACTAGCATGGCTAACTTATTAGCTCAGAGTGTTGGCAAATAAATTTAACACGGCTTTATGTTGTGTTTATTTAAAAATGTAAGTTAACGTTTCACCGAGGCTTTCCGTTATGAAACAGACATAAACTTTAAAACATTTATTTTTTTTAAATATGAAACTTTTTTCCCCAGTCCTGTGTACCGAGCTACTTCGGCTAACCCCTACCAGCGCTTCCTGCTAACAGATTGCTAGCCTAGCAGTTGTCAGACATTATCCAAGAAAGTTTCCGGAAACAACTTTAAGTAGAGATTGGGTTAAAAGTAAAACTTTAAAATATGTTGGCCTGTCAATGCTGCTAAATTGAGACTATTTTAAAACCGATTTACTCGCAACGTCGTAGCAATAGCAAACTAATAACCACACCCTTCCTTTCGAAAGCAGCGACGTTAAAGTTGCCACGAAAATAAGTTTATCTTTACTTCTTGTGTCGGACACAAATGACATTTACACAGAAACACGAATAAAGTCTAAGAAACTCCAGCTCTGATGGACCACAGACCTTTGGTCGTTTTTCCTGATCAGGCGGAACTTTACATTATATTTTTGTCACTCATATTTTGTTTGTCAATTCGTCCAGGAGACGTGGACTCACCCGGTAAAAACATCAGAAATATTTCTGTTAGGTAACCGAGTTGATCAGCAGCAGCTTCAGAGGAGTTGGTTTAAATGTTTATTTATTGCCCTGTCATTATGTTAATGTTAATTAAATGCACAGTTTGTTTATTAAACTCGAGACCTTGTTTTTAAACTGTCAGCTTTTTTTGTGTTTAGGAACATAAATAGTTTGAGGCCAAAAAAAAAGGGATTGATTGCCTTCAAGAAACAACGAAACCGGAACTCGTCTGCGATTAAATTGGAGAACTAGGTGTATTTTCATAGAACCGGTATTGCAGCTAATACAGACGGACGACTGTCAGGTGGCTATGGGTTCAGTGCTTAATTTGGCTTTACATAAATATATGAATAGTATAATTTTAATTATCGTAAAAAATTATCCCCAAACATTTCAAATGAGACCAAGTCTCGGGCGTTTGAGGGGGAATTCCTGCCCGTCATGCAGAAGGTTCTGGGTTCAATTCCCTTTTCGTCTCCACTCGTAGGTTGAGATGTGGCAGGAGAGGCTGTCGGTGTAAAACCACAGCACACACATTGTTTGCCCCACTGCCCTGGTGACCCCCTTTTACAAACCTTCTATAGTCAAATGTTTCTTTATATCAGTAATGTGTTTTTTTTAGCTAGAACTCATTAGTAAATGTCTCCACTTTGAACTGCTGTTAAAGTTTCTCTGCTCATCATTTCCAGGACCTTCGCCCCCCCCAACCCTCTGCCCTACTACTCTGGTGTGGCTCAGCTTCTGGATCCCAGTGAACCCTCCTCGTCTGTCCGCCGACGGACGGTGAACCCGAGGATCCGCCGGACCCTCTCCCCTCCCCAGATGTAGAGGGAGTCGACATTTACAGCAGCTGTGTACGCGGTACGTGAACTCCTGTCCCTGCAGATTTTTCTAGAACAGCTTTGTTCGTCCAAAGTAGAGAAATTCGTCTCGTCTTTATTTCGTGCGTTTTTCCAAAATTGTAAACTAAAAAGGAGTTGGCGATCTGGCATCTGATGTCACATGTTCTGTGTACATTTACATCTCAATGTCAGTGCAATGATTTTCCTTTACATATATATTTTTTAGAGAGAAACAAATCATCTCGCCTCACATCTACATCAGCCCTCCCTGCCTCCCCCCCCAGGCTACACCCCTGCACTGGTAATGATTTTCCTGCAGTGGTCACACACACACACACCCTCTGATGTGTCGTCTGTGTGTGTGTGTGTGTGTGTTTGTAGAGCAGGGTCTTTACAGTGGCCCTTTGTGCAGCGTCCTTGTCCTCCTGTCTCTGACTGTGGGTTTCTGCCGCCGCTTCATACGCCGTCGTTAGAATTGCAAATGCCAGTGGAGTGCGACAGAGTGGTTTTTGTATTGTCCGTCCCCGCGTCTGACAAAAGTCCCACTGATGTCGTCTCATTAGTGCATTCAAAAGAGGCTGCCGAATGATGAGGTTTTCACTCCTTACCTCCCGGCGCTGACATTTGTGCGTCGACCAAGAGTTCATTTGCATTTCAGAGCCGACGTTGAAAACACAGCGTTCCCACATTGTGACGCTGTGGCCCACAGTGCACGGCTGTTTACCATGACACGGTGGACTGTGGTCGTGGACTGACCTCGTTAGTGCAGCGTCCAGTCAGTTTCTTTAAAAAAAACTAAACCTCTTTCCACCTCTCATGAAGACGACGTGCGTCGAGTGTTTCAGTCGGAATAAACAACTCTGAACTGGAATGTCTGATTTTTTTTTTTTTTTTTTCGCTTTTTTTTTTTTTTTTGGGGGGGGGGGGGGGGGTGTAACAGAAGTTTCACTTCTGCCACTGTTCTGAAAGTGCAGCTTTTTTCTAGAAACATCTTCCACTGACAATTTAAAAAGCTAGTTGTCAGGAGACCAGGACCAGAACCAGAACCAGGACTAGGACTAGGAATTAGTCATAGTTTCACTTTAGTCAAATGAACAGTTAGGACATGGTTAATAATTATATTTATCAATGAGATTCACTGAACTCTATAGAATTCTATTAAGGATCAACATAATAAGAAACTATGGGTTTTTTAAACATATTTTCACATATATTTAATGTGTTCTAATGGAGTGAACGGTCGTTTAACATCATTCTTACACATATATTTAATGTGTTCTAATGGAGTAAACGGTCATTTAACATTTAGTAACATTTAGTCTGACGCTAATTAGAATTATTATTAATGTTCTGGGACAAAACATCGTGAAATTCTTTGTCTTAAAATGAAGCCTTTTGGTGAAAATTAAAGCATTACTTGAAATAATTACAGTAATTAAATGTGTTAAATATTTTTTCATGATCACATTTATGGACTAAAAACAATTCCAGAAAATGGCCGGACTTTACTGCAGACATCGCTCTCTCTTTCTTTCTCGTTCTCTGTTCCTTGAAGATTTTCTAGGTCTCTCCCTCCCTCTCTCTCCCTCTCCGTCGCTCGCTCTTATCTGTGTCAGGCTGATGGACGTGGTGAAAGGTTATTGTTTACAGCTTTTCTCCCGTCTTTTGGCAGCAGATCAGGTCGTTTGTGTCGATCACATGAAGAGTTTTATTTCCAGACTTGATCAAATAAGTTGTTTAACGTCTCAGCCTTTTACTGTGAAGCAAAACTTAAACAACGAAAAAATAAAACAAGGAAGTTCAGGATCCAGGCCATAGTTTCAGTTCATGTTGCACCCCCCCCCCCACTGCACACACACAAACACACACTCCAGGACTCCAGAAAAGCGACAACGCCCCTATCATCATGACAGCTGTAGTCCCCTGGTGGTGGGTGGGAAGTGGAGCCTGTTTTTTCTCTTTTTTTTTTCTCTTTTTTTTGGCAGCCTTGTGATAAACAAATCTGTGGATGTCAGCAGTTGTCGTTCACGTTCCTTCACTTCACTGTTATTATCTGTCAATTAGAGTCTTTGAAGAGACCAGTGATGTACCAGTTGAACATGACAGGACTGTAAACCTCTTCCTCCTCCTCCTCCTCCCTGACGTTCTCCCTCTGTTCTTCCACAGACGTTTGTGCTGTTCACTGAACTCACCCACCATGCGTGAGTACAAGCTCGTGGTGCTGGGATCAGGAGGCGTGGGAAAATCAGCACTGGTGAGTGAGCGGACTGGTACGGTGAACGTGGGTAAATCATCAAAAATCCAAAAATAAATAAAAATAATTACCATCGCGCCAGTATAAATATATCACTTCATATAGCTCACATGTTATATCAATATATGGGATCCTTAATATATAGGAGAAAAACTGGTTAAGTTGAAATGTGTTTATATGTGTGTATGTATATATGTTTATATATGGATATATGTTTTTATATATGGTATGTGTTTATATAAATATGTATTTATATATGGATATATATATATGCATATATTTGTTTATATATTGATATACAGTATATGCATAAATAAATGTATGTACATACACACCTATTTTTGCATTTCTGGATGAAAGTATGTGTATATATTTTCAAATAAATGTGCCTATGTGTATATATGTACACAGTACATATATATGTGTATAAACAGTACCTGGTATATGTTGACATGTATTTCTATTCACAGATGTTTTGTTGCATGTTTTATTTGCTCTTTGTACTCGTGTGTGTGTATGTTTTTATGCAGGTGAATATGTTATATTCACATATATGTGGAGTCTTTATATACATATATATATATATATATTTCCAGATGGGTTTTTTTATGTTTTTTTTTTTTTTTTCTTCTCTCTAATTTTTTCTACATATTTTGTCCGTTCCAGACAGTCCAGTTTGTTCAGGGCATTTTTGTTGAGAAGTACGACCCCACAATAGAAGACTCCTACAGAAAGGTCAGAACGTCTCCTCCTCAGAATCCTCTTCTCTCCTCTTCACCAAGAACCCACAGTGACTTTGTGTTCTTCTGATTTTGTTCCTCCTGCAGCAAGTCGAGGTCGATGGACAACAGTGTATGCTAGAAATCCTGGACACAGCTGGAACAGTGAGTACAATCACACACACAGGTTTGAGCTGCTGCTCTGACAGGATGTGAAGCTAACGGTTCCTCTGTTACCATAGGAACAATTCACAGCTATGAGGGACCTGTACATGAAGAACGGCCAGGGTTTTGCCTTGGTCTACTCCATTACAGCGCAGTCGACGTTTAACGACCTGCAGGACCTCCGGGAACAGATCCTGCGAGTAAAGGACACCGAGGATGTGAGTGTTTAAAAAATTAAAAAAAAAAAAATATAAAAAAATCTTCAATCAAATCACATTAAAAAAAAAAAACATAAAAAAATCTTCAATCAAATCACTGGTTTATTTTATTTTTATTTTTTTTATCTCCATCGTTGAACCTTTCTTTTGTCCTCATTTCTAAATTCTCCATCCTATCTGATAAGTGGTGTTCCTTTGGCTCCCTCCAGTGGTAGGCCTGGAATTTAAAAAAATTAAAATGTTTTATCATGTGGCAAAAGTTTTTGTTTTTGCACCTTAAATAAATAATATTGTTTAAAAATTGCTCATCTCCAATAAAATAATATTTTATTGTAGATGAACATCTTTTTTCCATTGTTATTTTTTTTATTGCTCATTTGTTCTGGACACATGATCCCTGAGTCACAGAAGAGCTGAGCTGTTAATCAGTACTTGCTTGGAACTGACATCATCCTGTGTCACAATAAAAAAAAATAGTGTGTGTTAGCGTTTGATAAAGTAATCGCAGGTGTTAATAATTATTTTTACAGTAATGTGGAAATAAAAACATCATCGAACTCAGCCCTAGTTTCTATCTAACTGTTGATTTCATGGTTTCAAATTCTCACGCATTATTTTTTCATGTAAAATATAAATGATTGATTATTGATTTTTCTGGGGGTTTTTTTGTTTTGTTTTTTTTACCGTCAACCAGGTTCCTATGATTCTGGTGGGAAACAAGTGCGACCTGGAGGGTGAGCGTGTGGTGGGGAAGGAGCAGGGTCAGAACCTGGCCCGTCAGTGGAACAACTGTGCCTTTTTAGAGACTTCAGCCAAATCAAAGATCAACGTTAACGAGGTATGGTTCTGCGTGATTTCAGTTCTTCTTGATATTGATTGGTCCACAGATTGAGATTCAGTCAAACTGTCACTAACTTGGAAAAAAAAGTGAACTCTAAATGCTAAAAACGCATCATTAAAGATGAATAAATTATTATATCATCTGCAAATGGTTGAACGTACGCTTTCATTGTTTTTCATTAGTTAAAAAGGAGACTAAAACCTGGTGTTTCTGAAAACTGACTTTTTTGAATGTGAAGATGTTGAATGACTGGATTGTAACCCTGTGGTCACTGTCCGTTCTGTGTTAGATTTTCTATGATCTGGTGAGACAGATCAACAGGAAAACGCCAATGGAGAAAAAGAAAACAAAAAAGAAGTCGGGCTGCACGCTGCTCTAAAGTCAGCTCCAACAATCAGCTCAAGCCCAGGTGAGTCCGTGTTTTCTTCACTCTTCTCTGCTCTCTAGTTGCGTGCGTTTCCAAAAATGCTTTGGCGCCCCCCAGAGGAGGCCTGGGGTCACATACAACTTTCCTGGCAGAGCAAAAATAAACACAAAATGCCCAATTTTTTTTTCCTGTGAAGTGAATCATCTTGTACTTTATATACACAGCTACAGAACGTGTTGTGTCTGCGTTTATTTCGACGTCTGTCGTGTGACAGAAACGGACAAATTATTTAAAGCTAGTTTCACTTCAAGAAAAAATAATTTCTCCATCACAGCAAGTTCTGGAACGTTGTTCCCACGTCCTAATTTGTGACTGTGTTACATGAAAAACATTCACAAACACGGTGTCTATGTGTAAGGTCAAGTAGACCTGGGGTAAAGCAGGGGTCTGTGGACCGGTGCCGGTCCGTAGGTCATTTGGTAACGGGCCGTTTTATTAAAAGATAATCTGTCAATGTTTCAAAACAACAGGTCATTCAGACTCTGATACTGACAGAATAAAGTCGAAAAAGAAGTTTTATTTTGAAAATTTAATAATCCTTCATCGATGGTGCGATATTACTGGTCCGCAGTAACGGCTGATACCAGCTGACCGGTCCCTGGTACAACAAAAGTTGGGGACCTCTGGTGTAAACCACGTCCGTCACGGCTCGTCCTCCACACAGACTATTTTAAACGAAGAACTAGAAGAAGCCAGCGTGTGGCAAACGGCGCCCTCTGCTGTCATGTAATGGAACCTTCTTTGTCTCTCCTTTATGTTCCTCTTCTGCAGAAATGTAAAGTGATGTTTCCCACTGGATTCCCAGCCAGCATTCTCCGGCAGGAGAACATTTGAAAAAAAAAAAAAAAAAGAGCCCTGACAGAAGTACACTTTTTAAACTGCAGGAGGCAGCGAATACTGTTAAACTCTTCTTCTCTGCTGCTTGAATGGTGAAGAAATCTGACTCTGACTTTTTTTTTTTTTTTTTTTTTGGTCTTGTCAGTCTGACACCAACTTTTTTGTCTATTTTTTTTTCCTCCTCCTCCTTTTATTTCCCTCTAATGTGTCTTTGATTTGGAGACCGAGGGTTTGAATCCATTCTGGGAGGCAAAGCATTTTATGACACAGTGACGACGGCCTTTGACATGTTGTGACAACTGAAGAACACAGTGAAACGTCGCCTTCTCTCTGCACTACCTGTCACCGCGGACGTGTCACCGGCCGCCGTTACTCTCTCTCCAACTTACACGGACGTGTACTGATGAAATAACACAAGTGACTCTGTTTGTACTGTATACTCTCAGCCTTCCATATTTCCTATAATATATTCTACTTCACCCTTTTCTCTTTTTTTTTGTTTTGTTGCATAATACAGCTAAGGAAAATGGTATTTTTTAGACTGGTGGGGAAAATGGTGCATTTTGATGGGTTTGAGGCTAAAAATATATATTGTACTAAACCAACTCTAATATGTCCTTGTTATCCTGTCACAGATGATTTTCCAGCTTTTATGAATGATTAAATTTTAGTACATTTTCAATATATTTGTTCCTGGTTTTTTTTTTGTTTGTTTTTTTTACTCTTATTTGTAGTGTTGCTTTTTGAGATATGTGAGAGATGTTTTGAGAATTACAGTCATTATAGTCAAGTATTGTCCACTAACGGTGTAAGAAAATATCGATACACTAAAATATCGTGATATTTCATTTCACGATACCGTATCGATATTCAACTACACTGGAAAAATAATTGTAAATTGTTTAAGAAAAAAAAAACCTCTAAATATATCATTGTGCCTACAGTATCGCAATATATCGTACTGTTGCCCCGTTACCGTGATACGTATCGTAGGATTCCTGCCAATACACACTCCTAGTGGTTGTGTTGCTGTCTTGCATACATTTATAAAGAAAGTCTCCCTACAGTAATCCCAAGGTACGGCGAAGTAGTTGGCGAATGGAATGATGCTATACGCAGATGACGGCTTTGTTAACATTCGCCGGTTTTACGCTATACATTAGATCATACTACATTTTGTTTTTGTTTTTTGTTTTTTTGGGAAATTTTCAGCCCAAGTTGGACTCTCCCGATGTTTTTTTCCTAGATTATGATGTCACTGTGTTAGCGAAAAAGAGTCAAATGCTTGTGAGTTCCGACTTGCGAAAAAATCGAGTTACCTCACGCAGCAGGAACAGTTATCTGAAGGAAGAGATACGCGTAAACTGTGTACAAATGACACCGTAGCTAACGGATTCAAATATCCAAGGTGAAGCTTCGAGGTTCTGACTGATCCTGAACCACTTCCTGTCTCACGGCCGTAAAGGTCAAACAAAGGAAGGATCGATTCGACAGTCGGAGCTCGGAGTCAGCCAGAAGGTTTCTGTTGGCACAAACGGAAGGTTTTTTTTTCCAAAAGTTGGATCAGTGTGTGTGCGTGTGAGAGCAGCAGAGAAAAGAGGAACTGAGAGTCTGCTCTCTCTCTCTCTCTTTCTCTCAGACACACACACACACACTCAGAGGAAATGAAGGGCAGGCCGTCTTAAAAGCAGAACAGAGAACGATCAGATGATGTGGAGCAGGTGAGGACAGAGAGGCTGACTCAGCAGCTCCATCCTTGACTGGGGGGGGGTCCGGGGGGGATGGAAGATGCTGCTCCAAAGGTTCAGAACATGTGGGTTTAACATCAGAGTTAGTCTGGAGTTAGGAGTAAATTTTTTTTTTTTTTTACTCTTTAAAATAATAGCAGTTGTAAAAATCCTGCTATTTTTGTTGGATTAAAGTCGCTGCAATTTCCCCTCTAATAATCTAAATATTGAAGCAAAAATATTTTTTTTGTCTTGCTGTGCCCACAAGATTAGTCCCCTATGTTGAGAACCACCTGCTCAGTGCTGTGTTTAAATTCACTGTGATCTATTAGCTTTTAAAATGATTCAGGTTCAGATTCATGTTTAGACAAATAGTGTAAAGAATATATTAAACATCAACTACAAATGTCACCCCCCCCCCCCCCCCCACACCCTATCACAAC